CAGGGAATACAGCTACAAAAACTAACTCGGGAGCATCATTCTTTTGGATGCCATGTCTTCAGACAAGAACCACGGCCTCACAAATCAGCTCCGTTTGAACCAACCCACTTACAGCTAAAGGTGAAATGCCGGCGGAACCAAGTTCAATGCGGTGAAATGGTGGAACTCAGTTACAGCGCTGCAGAATTTATCAGCGCCTGGTGATTCAAGGAAAATGCTAGGTGGAGGAAGGAGAGCCTGATTGCAGGTTAAGCTTCTGAGGAAGGTTGTATCACGGACACATGGCCTGCAGAAATCACCAAACCTCAGTCAGATTAATAATTTATTTTGACATGCTAATGGGAGTGTTTGGTTTGGAGAATCAATCCATTCTAGACAAGGTGATGCATCATGAATCCATCCCTCAAATTTAATGGAATGACTTCATTCCTCATATTAGTACTAATTACTAGTTTGTGAGGAATGGAATGATAATGCATCAACTCATTTCATTCCACAAACCAAACAAAATTAAGGAGTGAGATGATGATGGACTACCTCATTCCATAAACCAAACACCCCCTAAATCGGTAAATCCCATATATTTAAAAAAAACAGAATGTCATCAAGGAATAAATAATTCCTACTAGAACCTAGATCCATTCAGTAAAGTAAACTTCATAGTTTGGACTCTGAACACTTGAAAAAGCAATAACAGTAGGATGGTGCATTGATTCGCCATGCCTAACTATTACTAGATCTGTGGTGAACTACTCAACTTTGGGCTTCTTAACTGCTGCATGCGGGACTATGGGACTACTAAATGCTGTACCAGGTCTATATCTTCTTTCAAAAGCATGGCACCCATGTAAATGTAGTTGTCACTTGCCAGGTAGCCAGTGATCAATACGAGTTACTTTTGTTTCAGAGAGAATTCCACTTTTAAGGAACGATGCTACATTAGCTATATATTATCTTGTCTTCGTTGTATTATTCTCATAAATTTACAAACCAGTATAGAAGTGCATAACTATATGTTTGGAAAGAATCATGTATACCTTCTAAGAGGCAGCAAAAAAAAACACAAGAGAATCATGTGGTGGCATATTATTTTCTATCCCATCTTATGAAACTATAACTCGTTCTGTCATAACAAAAGAAAAGATACCTATGTCACAGTATGGCTTACAAAACATGGTAACCAAACCCTAAACCATATCGTGTTTCTGTTATTTGGAAAACATGGTAACCAAACCCTAAACAAGGTAACCAAAGACTAAAGTAGGCATTTTCATCGATTGAAGTTGTCATATCTACCAGAGCAACATATGAAGACATAATGCAGTTTTGAGCTTCTCAACAAGGGATAATATGGAGGGTACAGAAGTAAAAATCTAGTTACAAGCATGCCAAAGGACATAGGCAAGGAAATATCCTCTTGTGTGTACTACTTTACAAGCAAAATCCTGGCCGTGTTGTCATATCTTCAGCATACTATAAACACTCAGTCCTAGGCAATTGATTGGAGGGGAGGGTGCAGGATAGCCATAATACCAAACTTCCAGAATTCCTTTTTTAGACTGATAGTCTAATCCAAGTAGTTGGTTAACCAATACATATCCAGATTAAATTCCTCTTAACATGGGCCTGTTTGGATGCATAGGGCTAATTGTTAGCCAGCTAATTTTTAGCTCCAGCCCATCCAAACAGGGGGTTAATAAGTGGGCTAATTTTTTTAGTGATGACTCTAACTAGTTGCTAACCAACTAGCTAGCCAGCCCCAGCTAATTTGGGCTAATTTTTAGCCTCACCTAAGAAGTAGCCCTAGATGATCCAAATAGGCCCATAAACTAGTATATCCTCCTCGCTGTACATTGCACATTATGAAATAGTGAATGCATGCAGTACAATCTGTACTCTCTTGAATGGAACGTGTCAGGGCAAATAAACATGCATCATTATTGCTCAAAAGTAGTTCAATTGCTAATAATACTGAGCAGAGCAAGCCTCCTAATCATTATTGCTCAAAAGTAGTTCAATTGCTAAAAGATACTAAGTACTAACATCCCAGATTTTCTACCATCCAAGACTAGTCAAAGTGGGTAAAGCTAACAAATAGATGCATAGATATTTTTGTAAGAGCTCTGTATTATTGTCCTACATGACCCAAAAAAAATCAATACAAATATACACTAACACTTTGATGCACACAACCAAAGGATTTTTCAACTGCATGGGTTTTGTTCGCATAGGCCTCTAGAGCAATTGACACCCTGGACCATGAGTTACCACAAGATAAATGTTTACAACGTACCTCAAGATTCTGGAAACTGAAGTTCCACAATTACACCATGATGCAACTCCACTCTGGGTACCGCACTGCCTCCACAAAGAACTTTAGAGCTGAGGAAGTTCTTGCGGGTTCTCCATTGATGCCCTCAATATCATACCCGCTCTCCGCTTCTTGTCGTCCTTTGCTTCCTCTTTCAAGAATGAAGGATCTTCCCTCAGGTCCAGGGCTCTTGAATTCAGAGCTGCTGCTAATGGCTTCTTTTCAAATCCAAGCTTAAGATGCACCGGAGCCCTCTCTTTTGGAACAATGCTCCTTTGATTTTGATCCAACCCTGCCCCAGCATCAACCTCCCTGATGGTTCTAGCTTGGATGGCCGGCGCAAATGCCTCAAGGACAGAGAGTTTCTTCTTTTCAGGAGGCATATCAACCTCAGATACATCCTTCTCTCCAGGCGGCAATGCTGGCTCAAGAAATGGGTTTCTCTTTGTCCCAGCTGCCTGTATCTCCTTTCCCTTCTCTGCACTATCCTGCGCCACCGCTGGACGAAACCCATCCACGCCTGCCATAGCCAGCCTTCGCTGCAAGCTGAGCAGGGACTTCTCAGCCTTCCTCCGTTGCCGCACCTGCTCCACCTTATCCACCCTGTCCTTGGTCGCCGGCGGCTCAACCCACACCTCCGTGCTCACATAGGTGTGCGAGTCCGGGAACGCAGGCAGCCACTCCGGCACGTGCCTCATCCCAGCCTCCCTCCCCGCCGCCGCCGCCGGGCTAGCAGAGGGCTGCGGCTGCACGCGCTGGACGGGGAACCGAGGCAGCGGGCGCGCGAACGGCACCTCGTCCTTGGAGTCGACGAACGCCATGAGGTCCCTGACGACGCCGGAGCCGACGAGGCAGCGGCCCGTGGCCGCGGCGCCCGCGAAGCCGTCCGTGTCGTTGCCGACCTCCTCGAGCGCCTGGATGACGTCGAGCTCGTTGGCGAGCGCGCGGCCGGCGAGGTTGGAGTGGAAGGCGGCGGACCGGCCCAGGTGGGTGATGTAGCGCAGGAGGACGTCGACGACCGCGTCCACCGCGGAGCGGTGCGCGCAGTCGAACCCCGCGGCCTCCAGCGCCTGCGCCACCGCGGCACGCGCCACCGCCCGCCCGAACTCGTCCCCGCTGCCGCTGCCGCTGCCGCTGCCGCTGCCGCTGCCACTCCCGCCGCCGCCGGTTCCGCTCATATCTCCGCCGCTTCTCCTCCCCCCGCTTTCCAGGCACTCATGCCGCCGAGCAGCTCGCCCGCCGGCGAGGGGTCACAGATCCGGACGGCGCTAGGGTTCAGATCCCTCCGACCGCACCACCGCCCGGCCGAATCGAGCTCCCCAAGCTCGCTCTCGCTCCCGGCTGGCCGGCCGGCTGGGTGATTTGAGCTGGAATTCAAATTCAACCTCCAAATGGTTGATTGGAATTCGAGGCGAGGCGAGAGCGCGGTGGATTGGGCGGGAAATCGAGGGGATGCTGCGGTGGGGTGGGTGGGCGGAGGAGAGAGGCGGGGAGGCGAAGGGGAGATGGTGGTGGTGGCCGGTGGGCAGGTCTCATCTTAGAGAGGCGGCGGCGGTGGGTGGGCTGGATGGATTCGCGTGTGCGCCAGGCGGGGTGCGCGGAGCAAGGAGGGCCATACGTGGCCATTCGATTGGACGCGCCACTGGCGTTGTGGACTTTTTCCAACGAGGATCCTTTTGTTTACACCATCCAGAATTATTGGCCAGGCCCAAGCCGGCCCGCACAGGCGCCACAACGGCCTGAGACAAAGCAGCCGGCCGGCCATTTTAGGTTTGCAAAAAGTCTATATTACCTCTGTCAATTCTCGCGAAAATCCATTTTTTTTCTCCCTAAACTCTAAAACCGGACAAAGCAAATATAAATAAATCTATAACTAAATTATACATGATCGAATAAGCATGAAATTTTTACTACAGTTTAAGTATACAATAATTAGCCCACCATAAAAATTTCACCACAATTGGACCATAGAAACTACAGCTATGAATTATTCAATTTAATTATAGAAAAGTATAGATCTAAAGTCACAGCAAAAACTTTGTAAGCATGTGTAGATCTACTCTTGTGGAGTCCAACAAAATTAGATTTTTTATTTTATGATTTTTTCTGTGATTTATTATGATTTTTCAAAGATTCAACCGAAACAAATAAATAAAAAAGACAAAACCGCCTTTAAAACTGCTTATAACAGGACCAGGGAGGTAAGATGAACGGTGAACAGTTTTAAAAGTTGAGAGAGATACTTTGCCTGGTTTTGGAGTTCAGAGAGGCAAAGCGCACTTTCACGAAAGTTAAGGGGGTAATGTGGGCTTTTTCCTTTAGATTCTATAACGACATCCAGTCGTTACAAGATGAGAATCAGAACAAGGATCATATATATGACTCAAAGTCTCGAGCCTGAGACAGACAGGGACAACAGATAGTAGCATGTGTGAATTGTGATGGTCCGTGACAACCGACAATGATGCTCCATACAACAAATAAGCTCTACAGAACCAAACCAGGTGTGGCTAAAACGTGTTCATGGCTGATTGGTGAGAAATGGCTGGCGTGTGGCCTGCAGAGCTTCGACGCCATTGGAGAAGCTGGACTCTGGTGAACGCGCCATTGCAGAAACGTGTTCATCAGCTTCCTCCCAGGGGCTGTAAACTGTTAATGGACATGCTACCCACAGCGTGCTGCCATTGGCTCATTGCATATGCTGGTGAATTTGCACGCTGCCTGCTGATGCCTGGTTCGCGGCTCTGTTGCTGCCGAAGTTCTTCCGGTTCGACTCCCTCGCTATCCTTGAACCAAACTGCGTAAAGTGTTGGATGGAGGTAGTATCAGGTGCAAGCTTGTATGCGAAAAACTGCTTGTGCTATAGTATGCGTGGAACCACACAATGAAAATGATGCTTGCTGGTTATAATTATTATGGCACTGACATGTATCAGATGTTTAAGCAGAGATGATGTGCAATTTTATCGGACCAACTAACTATCAAAGATGTTTTACCTCTTGTTAGTCAATACTCCTAGATTTTGTTAATAATTGGGTATTTTTAACACTATTTTCTCAAGGATTTTGTTAATAGTTGGGTATTTTTACCAACTATAAGGTCAAGTATCTGGTTAGAATATGCACCTGGATCGCACGCTTTGGCTGAAGAGCAGCTTCTTGTAGGCCCAGCAGCCTTGCAACCTACATAAATAGGACACGGGGATTGCTATTAGCCAACTTTTATGCATGTAACAAAAAGAACTGCAATCCATCACCAAATCAGCCTTAGATTTTTTATATTTCTCAAGGGAATTTTGCAACAGTTGCACTCATTTGCCACCCTGGTAACTGTGTCATTAGACAATACCTTCTATCCACACAACTGATGCACTCAGCATGTATATGTTAATTTGCAATGCAAACTGGCATATAATGTAACAGCTTCTATTTGAAGTAAGGCAAATTATGTGCAAACCTCTCTCAATATCTTCTTGTCACCCTTTCCAACAGGTTCATCAAGTTTAGCAATCTCCCATAATGGAATTTCCAACAAAGTTTTTATCACGTTCTCATCAAGAAATGGGAAACGGGCCTACAGGATGTACAGTAGTACACATTAGATAGACAAGAAACTAAACCCATAACTGAAAATGCTAGGCATTCAAATTCATAATCCAATTAAAGACAGCTTACCTCCTTGCCATGATCGGTTATGCACCTATCATCTCTTCCCATATTCCTTTTCCATATTCTCTGCACATCTAGTCTCATCTCCTGATCCAATGCGTTCCACCTAAATAGCAGCATAAAAGCTTAATTAATAGGATTCTTACCATTACAGTGCTTGAACAATTTAATTGATATCCATCATACTTAGTACAACAAATCAAACTGATGTATGGACATACCCTCCAAGCCTAAATTTAGTCCGATGTCTACCATAACCAGCACACTGCTCATCAGCTCCAGAACCCACTATAAGGACTCTAGATCTCGACCTGTACTTATAGCGAGAACCGTCTTGCATACGGCATGTACTTCCATCCACCCAACCATCCCCACCAGCAGCCAACCAGAGAGCAATACCAATGTTCAAATCCTGTAGAACAGATCCAATGTTTCAACTTTGATAACTCTACCATGAGTTACACTCTCCATTCAAAACTATAGTTCACTTTGGCTTTGTCCTAAGTCAAACCAACTTTGACCAGGTTTTTAGAAAAAGTATATTAACATCTACAAGTTCAAATAAACACACTTTCAAAAAATATTTCATGGAGAATTTAATGAAACAATTTTGACAGTACAGGTGCTGATGCATTTTTCTATAAACTTGGTCACAAAACCAAAGTGAACTATAATTTGGAATGGAGGCGGTAATAAAGACAATTTCAAGTTTATGTTGCCATTCCAAAACCCCAAATCCACAAACATGTAAACAGAGTGCAAGTGCACAAACAACATATGTGGCATGTTTTCTAATGTTATGTCATGGGAAAGCAATGGAATGAACATATAAGGCTTTAATAAAAGGATACACACCATATAGGTGTTTGAAGGGTGTATGAGTGACATCACATGTTCACTTTCCCCTTTCAAGTCTGTCAAAGCAGTGTCAATCTCAATAAGACGCCATCTGCAATTTAAGAACACAGGGACAATAAAACAAACATTTCAGCTTAAAGTCACAGTGCAACATAGCATCTATAGCTAAACTGAAAACTAAAATGAATTACAAACTTGCGTGAATAGCCAGAAAAGCATACAAGTAAAGATGCAAGAGTGCATCGTAGCAAAGAACATGAAACATCATAATGGACAAGGAACTCATAAGGGTATAGTAGGTATTTCATTCGCCCAAAAAGGAAATTAGGTGCAGGTATCATCGTTCTTCAAGTGCAATTACTATGGAGAATATGAAGATAGGTATCATTAAATAAAATCAAATACATTTAGTGCTAGATCATACAAGCTGTTGGGGCTAAGAACACAGCAAGTTCAAAAGCCAAATCACCTCCGGCACGGAGATATCCTCTGAAGCTCCTTCAGTCCTGCTATTGCAGAAATCCTATCAGGGGCAAGCTGCCCATCAAAACTGACATTTAGCAAATCAATTGTCCCTGTTGGAAATCTTTATTAGCTTTAGTTTAGGGACAGAGATGAAGAACATAATCTTCTAGCAGCAAATATATATAATATAAAGAACTTTGAAAGTTTGAAACTTTGAATGCAACAGAGTAAAATTAATAGTCAGACTTACATTTGGAATCAATGCACTGGTCTAACAATGCTGCAAGTATCATGGAGTCTAAGCCACCGGAGAAGAGGACTGCTATTGGGGATGACTCTTCGTCCTCAAATTTATTTAGAGTACCCTGTCCACATGAAAGAACTCAGTATAACCTGATGTACTAACAAGTAATGGAACATAAAGAAAGATGTAACTATTTTCAGTAAAGAAGGTCCTGATCAATTAATTAGCAGGTAGAGTTGTTAAATGACCATAGGTAGTACAGAACAGCATTAAGAAATTAAAACTTAACATGTATGCCAACCTGAAAGAGTGTGTTCATTTTAGTCCGCAGCATTACAGATTCCCTTAATGCAACCAATACTCTATGTGCTGAATGTACATATCAACATAAACAATATATCAGTATAAGCAACTCTTTGAGACGATTTAATTATGAAATTTCAGTAGTAAATGTTTCATGTACCTGACTGTGTTATGCAATTTGCTTCACATAAACTAGAATCTGACAGGAGATCTGCCTTTGTGATCCCATTATTCATATTTCCTCCAGCTTCTCTTGACCTTATGAAGCTCTGAGACAACTGATGGTTCCCTCTGTCAACAGAATTGTTCTCCATGGTAGGAACTGTAAGTTTCCTCTCCCATTTAATCAATTCATTCAATGAAGAAGCCATCCATTTATGTGTGTTAACCTCCACGATCCACCCTTCCTTCATGTGTGCACCATATTTTGCAATGTCTTTCATATGGATGCTGTATATCCCACAAGGAAGCTCTTCCCAGTAGCTAGCTTCAGTATGGTTAGACATGTCACAATCTGACACAAAATCATTTACTGTTGGATCTGTAGCAGAGGAAAAGACCACAAAAACAAGATTGGATTTGTGAAAATTGAATAGTTATCACTATTTAAAGCATGTAAAGAAACAAAAATCTTAAGCACAGACAAAACCACAGCTTACTGCAAAGATGGACACCTGAAAGTTAAGCATATCTTACCAGAGTTATTCTTTGCAAATGAAGGGGGGGATACTGATGATAATATGAAGCGAGAATCATCAGCTGTGGGCCAATGTACTAAGAGGCTTCTTCTTCCAAATGCATCCCGGCCAAACCAAATCGTATTCGACTTCATCTGGAAGTTCAAGATGACTTGGGTGTTAGAAAGATGAACCTCCAACAGATTGCAAAGATCACAATCATAAAAATTACCTGCCTGCCAGTATATCAAAGCCCATGGACCTTTGATTGTGGAAAAGAGTTGCAAAACTGATTTGGCACCACTCCCACAACAAGGACATGTTTTATCTCTACCAAGAGCATGGCAATCACATGAACAACAAGATTCCAGAGAGGTAAAAAGAGCTTGGGTGTCGTTCTCATCATCTGCAACCTGAATTCCTCCATATATCTCACCTTAGACGAAATAATTTCATTAATTTGATCAGCATATATCACCAGAGGACAATAATTTGTGAAGAAATAAAAAGAAGCAACTTTACATCAAGCTCAAGGGCATTACCATTATACACAAGGACACTTCCAGTGGGGGCCACCAGTGGCTGCGAAACCAGCTTAGCTCCCCTAAGATGCAGTGTTGCCCCGATGAAGAACAAATCAGCAACACCAGAGTCACTCACACCAATTTTACCCTCTACTCCATCATTGCAGCCATCACTAACTGCAATGCACGACAACCTATAAGAAAATACATAGATTCAACCAAAGTCCTGTGCATATAGAGTCAACACCCACCAACAACCGTGCCATCAGCGAGAAGGCGGCGACTTTCGTAGCCTAAACTATCAGGGCCTCGCCGGCGCAGGGCCTCCTTCAGCTCATCTGACAGGCCCTTCCTCTGCAGTTATGTGAAAGCAGCCAAATCAACCTAGGTGCTAAGGTTTAGTGTACGGCCAGCATTTAACTGAAGGTTTGGGAGGTTGTGGAGGGTGTAGACGTGTAGTAACATACCTCACAGGAGTGCTGGATCTCTGATGCGGCGGCGGCTGCAGTGGCACAGGGAACAATGACGAGGCGGTCACTGGAGAGGACAAGGGCGATACCGCACATCGATGACTTCAAGGTCTTCTTGTCAGTGGAAAGGGGCTAGTGCACACAACGACTGTATAAAACTTGATGTTTTTGCAGCAAGGGCCTGAAGAACAAGATATTAGTCTTTTTTTAGTGAAACAATCGGTTGTATACAATTATGGGAACAGCTTTTTTAGACATCATACATAAGTAACGTTTAAGGCCCTGTGAAAGCTCTAGTTTGGTTTTGGTGAATTGATGAAACCCTAAGTGCTAACCTAGTTTATCAAGTGATCATGAGATAGGTAGCACACTCCAAGTGATGAAGCAAATGAAGATCATAGCATGATGATGATGATACCATGATGATGATCAAGTGCTTGGACTTGGAAAGAAGAAAGAGAAAAACAAAAAAGCTCAAGGCAAAGGTATAAACCATAGGAGCTATTTTGTTTTGGTGATCAAGACACTTAGAGAGTGTGATCACATTTATGATTGATAGTCATACTATTAAGAGGGGTGAAACTCGTATCGGAGCGCGGTTATCAAAGTGCCACTAGATGCTCTAACTCATTGCATATGCATTTAGGATCTAGTGGAGTGCTAACACCTTTAAAAATGTTTGTGAAAATATGCTAACACTTGTGCACAAGGTGATACACTTGGTGGTGTTGGCACATTTACAAAGGAGGTGGTGTTTGCAGTGTTGAGATGGGTTTGGGTCCGACGGGATTCGGCGCTTTCGGGAAAATGGAATGCCTATTTTCTATTGCGCCGGATGAAAATTCTTGGTGGTTGGCACATTTGAGCAAGGGTGAAGAAGTTAGAGTTGAAATGGAGTTGGTCGAAATGATGTTGGCGTCGGTCTCATTGACCGAATATTTGAATCACTCAATGACCGGACGCTGAAACGTTCGCGTCCGATCGTCTTTGTCGAGGCAACACGATGGCTAAGGTTGAGCACCGGACGACTGTACATGTCCGGTCAAGGTGGACCGGACAGCGTCCCGTCGAAGAAATACGCCTCGGGAGCTTATTGAAGCGGCCGTGTATTTGGGGCTTCAGCGTCCGATCCGTTTTTGCCGGAAGCGTCCGGTCAACCGTAGCCGTTGAAATCGGCGAACGGCGTTTGAAGGCGGTGACGCGTGGCATCCATCGGCGGACGGACGCCGAGGGCGGCGTCCGGTCGATGTATGACCGAACATCCGGTCGAGCGCGTTTTGCCCGGTGAAGGGGTATAACGGCTCTATTTGATTGGGGCTCTATTTATAGCCCCATGGCGGCTCAAGGGCGCTCTCTTGCACATTTTCATTGACATAGCAACCTTGTGAGCTTAGCCAAAGCCCTCCCACTCATCTCCATCATTGATCCATCATCATTGTGAGATTGGGAGAGAATCCAAGTGCATTGCTTGAGTGATTGCATCTAGAGGCACTTGGTATTCGTGTTGCGCCTTCTGATTTCGCTTGTTTCTCTTGGTGGTTGCCACCACCTAGGCAGTTGGAGCAATGGTGAAGGATCGCACGAGTTGGTGATTGTTCATGGCGCGCCGGTGATTGTGAGGGAGTTGTACCTTCCCGTGTGAGTGCCGAAAGGTAACTCTAGTAAATTGCTCGTGTCATTGAGTTACCTCACTTGTGGGTCGGTTCTTGCGGTGTCCTATCGTGTGGGCGAGGTTTGTGAAACACCTCTTAAGCGTCGAACCACCAAGTGTTGGTCGACACAACGGGATTAGCGTGTTGGCAAGCACGTGAACCTCGGGAGAAAAATCGGTTGTCTCTTGTCATTTGCATTCTCCCGGTGATTGGCTCAATCTTCATCTTGTGATTGGTTCACTCCACGACCCGGCGGTATAATCGTATCACTTACTCATTTACATTTCCGCAAACTAGATATAGCAAGCTCTTTAGTGTAACTAGAATTGAGAGCTTGCCTTGTGCTTTAAACATATCTAGTGGAGCTCTTTAGTGTAGCATTTGTGAGAGCTCTTAGTGAGTAGTAGTCAAGTAGATTGTGTGCCAATTGATCATTGCAACTAGAATTGTTGGACAGGTGGCTTGCAACCCTTGTAGAGCTAGAGTAAGTTTGCATTTCGCTATTTGTCTTACTAATCAAATTGCTCTAGTTGATTTGTAGTTTTTAAATAGGCTATTCAACCCCCCCTCTAGCCATATTAGGACCTTTCACCCTGTTTGGTAGGGCTTCAAGTAGCGCTGGTAATGGGCCATCAAATCCCAACGGCCAAACGAGCACCCCAACTCATGGGCCTGCTTTTACGGATCATATATGGTGTATATATATAGGAAAGGGCCAAATGTTGCTCAAAAAAAAGGAAAGGGCCAAAATGGATACAGGCTGGACTCTAGACTTGGCCCTTTGTCGTTGTGAGGATCATGAGAAAAAGCCGATGTGGATTGTGAGGAAAGAGCCTTCATCGAGAGCATGTGAATGCATTGTTGTCGTTGGCTCAACAGGCAAAGGGATCAGAACGCCTGGGCACCTTGCGTAGGGCAGCGACGGTGGTCACGGGTCACCCAATTGTTGCCAAGAGAGAGAGAGAGAGAAGAGAATGCAGGGGGGATGCAAAGGGGGCTGTCTTTGTTCAGAATTTTAGGATTTGGCACACTACCGAATAGCCATTGCCATCCTTCCAACCAAAAACATCACAGAATTGTCCTGATGGTTGGAGCTTCCTATTAGGAAGGAACCCCACACACACACACACAAAATGTAGGCAGACAAGGGTACAAGGGTATCACCTACCTATTTGATGATGGAGACAATGTGGCCAAACACAAATATGGAGTCTGCCAAATGTTCGGAGGCAAGGAACAAAAAACCTTCTCTATTGTTACCTACCCATCTGAACATAAACAAGCTTGACCCTCATTAACTCAATGACTACAATTTCTCTGGGATCCACAGTCAACCGCTCGTGGTAGGCCACAGTATGATATTACCACAGCAACCAAACAAGAGATACAGAAGAATAAGAAACAAAAAGGCTACACACAAACATGGTCTTGAGAGGCAAGGAACATAGAGCTGTTGAATTGGCATTAAACATCTGAATTTCATTAACCAAGCAAATCTGAAAGTTTTAGACCGGAAAACCGCGAAGAATGTTATCACTTATCACAGCTCCAATGGTGAACATCAGTACTACAATGAACTCATATGCTTAACTCATATATGCATACTACTATCAAGACTAGCACGGCAAAAAGTAGGACCTAGCTGTATATCTCGGCCACGCACAAGTCAGAAGAAGCAATCTCTGAATGAAATCGAATCACGCGGATGCAGTATTCATTAAATCCCCACACAGGAACAAGCCGCAAGCCAATATCTGTTTGATTGTCACAAGAAATAGACAGATAGAAGAGTCGGCAAGCCATACCTGCACTGCACAGACCCTGACGACTGACGGTGGCAAGCTGCAGCAGAGATACGGATGCGGCGCCCTCGACCAGATGGCCGGCGGCGGTGCCCTGGGGCAAAAAGGCGGAGGCGGTGCCCTAAAGCAGATCAACGGCGGCGGCTGCGGCGGCGCACTGGTGACTGCAGCCGTGCAGCGGCACCCTGGAGCCTAGACGGAGGCAGCGCGCAAGGGCGAAAAGCGACACACGCTGGTCGACCTGGGCCGAGTTCCCCTGCGAGGCCCAGATGGGCTTCCATTGGATTCCTGGTTGGCGAGCGACGGAAATCTTGAGACGGACGTAGCCCGGATTGGGGAATTTTTTTTAATTTCTACAGTATATTTTAAAATTCTGTTTTTTAAAATATTTGTCTAAATAAAAAAGGTAAAATTATACTACTGCTGTTGATTGAATCGGTAGAAAGTAGGTTGAATTATCGGAATCTCCTTTTCTCTGCCGGCTCATCTTTAAAAAAATCATAACTTTTAGTATGAAATCGGACGAAAATATGATTCACTAGAAGAATTTACCGTGCGTTGCTGCGGGTATCAAGAGAAAATAAGATGAATTCGGTTAGCTGCTGCCTTCGTTATGGAAGTGTGTCCGTAAAATGAGCACCAGGCGTGACAAGCTTTGCTCTGTCAGCTCGCGTAGTTCAGCTTCAAGCATTGGCCAAGGTTACTGACAAATTCAGCTGCACTGTCACAGATGACAGAAGTGTGTCCGTACCTGACGCTTGGCTGTATGAAAATGGAGTGTCCGTGCCTGACGTACGAGTATTTCTCAAATGTTTCCTTACGTACTACAGCTCTCAAATGTTTCCGTAAGGCAAAGTCACTCATCGCTGGATTCGCTGGACTGTCTGGGTTTCAGACTTTCATTCAGTAGCTGGGAGACCTGAGAGAGCAACTATTATCCATGCACATGCACTCCTATAGTTATTTCATCTGATGTGCATGGAGCAAATCTGTCAAAAATATACTCAGCTATTTAGGCCCTGTTTAGAGAGCAAGATTTTTTTTCCCTATTCATGTGTTTTTCCTGTGAAATTGAACTTATTCTCGTAAAATTCCCACGTAATTCCTATGAAATTCATGTATTCTAAACGGGCCTATTAGTGGTGATGTGGCTTGATTTCATGGAAAAACTACAATCTGTATGCTTTCGGATTTCAGTATGCTATGCTAGGCACGTTTCTAACAATTAATTCACGAGGAGATGGATTGAACTCTAAAAAATTAAAATTAAAACCTTACCATAATCAAATCTACTTCATTCACTTGTGTGACAAGGTCAAACTAAAGGTTTATCCTACCTCTGCAAATATTGTATTAAATATTTCACCCTCTAAACAATCTCAAATAAAAAAGGTTTTAATACAATCTAGTTCTTGTCAAGTAGTATAGGATGTGTCTTCATCTGAGTTGGTTGAAAATTTTGAAGAAAAAAAGATTCTAAGAACTTAAAACTTATATGAGTTGTCCTTGAAAAAAATGGAAGACAATTGTAACAATGATTTATGTAATAGTGCACGAACATCTCATGAGCAAGGTTAAAATAATTGTAATACTGAAAAAACCTAAGAGGCACATTTGACATTTCCCATGGTCTGTTTGTGGCTTTTAATTTGCTCATGTTTCTTTTTAACATTAGTATGATAGGGTATAAAGAAGCTGCTGGTTATGCGATTTTTTAACTTTGAGGTTGAAAGCTAGTTAAGAAGCCTCTAAACCTTTGCTAGGTTGAGAGGCGTGTTTAGATACTCACATGGGGAACCAGGGTTGAAGTAGTGCTTGATTCCATTAGATGTTTTCCTATGACCGTTTTTAGTCTTTTTATCTAGTTCTAGTGGTGGTATTCTGCAACGTGTTTGGTTGCATCACTCGCCTCGCCAAGCAACATAAGCATATAATTAATGGAAGCGCTCGTTCCTGCAAAAGGGAAGATCAATTTGGGTTCCGATGAACTCAATTTGGATGCCCCACCTATGAGCTAGATTTAGAGGGTGGCGAGCTTGCTTGATTCTGGAGGCATTGAGATTGACTCCACATAAGATTGAAGATATTCGATTTGGACGGTGATGAGCTTGGAAGGGAACAACTTGACTAGGCATGAGAAATATTGGCTTCATTGAGGGAGAGGCACGGATAAGTTGGGGGAAAGGTAGATTTAGTGTGGAAAAAGGTCCACTCGACATGCTACAAAAACTCTCTTTAAAGGGTAAACTCCATTTTTCGAGTATGATATAGTGCAAAATGATAATTTAAATAAACTATGAACATGATTACAAGCAACATTAACTTTATTATGATGGCATATAGAGAAGCATGGCTATTGATTTTAACTTTGAGGTAAAAAGCTACCTACCTCTAATACTTTGCTAGTCTAGGAGGCGGTGTTTGCATCATCGTGTTAGGTTGAGGTTGAAGTAGTGTTTGGTTCCTTAGTTACCTATGACTGGTTTTAGGGTTCTTTTTATCTAATCAAGTCATGGAATCCCATGGCATGCTCGGTTGCATCACTCGCCACGCCAAGCAACATAAGCATATATTTGTGTTTTGGTTTATCTGTGTCCTTTTTTTCATTTCCTCTCTTCTTCTTCTTCCACGGTGCAAGACTATCGATGGAAGAACTCAATCTGGTAATGGGAAATGTCAATTTTGATTGTGATGAGTTCATAAGATTGGAGATTCTCCATTTGGGTGGTGTTGATCTTGGGAGGGAACAAGCTTTTATTAAAAAAACAGAGGGAAACCCTCAAACCCCAACTATTTATAGAACATAGAAAAAAACTTGACTTGCATGGGAGATAGTAATTGCTTCATTATGGAATGTGCAATTCAATCCGAGGAAGATGTTAATTTAGTGCGGAAAAGGTTAGCTCTCCAGATGCTACTGAGCTCTTTTTTTTAAAAAAAAATAGCACTTGCATGCTTTTTAAGGGCACCATCAATGCAAGCATATAATACTAGTAGTCTCATCAAAAAGTTACATGACATATGACATGTAGATGCTGAAATTTGGGAGTACTAAACTCATAATGGAAGCCACACTCACATCTGTACTACGACACCTCTCATCTTCTCTCCTTTGTCTAATGCCTTAGCTTTTTATGTCACACACAACGTGCATACTTACTTCGACAGCTAGGCTACCGAACCTTCTATGAGTCCATCTGACAAGCCTACAAGCAACTATTCCTATTGAGTTGGCACCCGTATCCAGTGAGCAGGGGTGAAGTCAGCAGCCACGCTGGAGCGTCGGGCTTGCCCTACGACCACGCTCAACGTAAAGCTACACTACTACACATAAGCAGGGAAAGGATCTAAGGCTCCCAACCTCCAAACGCATAGGCACGCCACCCACTAAAAACTTCCATCCTGAAATGACGCATAAGCAGACAGCCTTGGTCCCGTGATGACTCATGCCAGGGGAGAAAATTGGGTGATTATAGTATCCACTTAGCTTCTATGCATACACGCTCCCATCAACTGTCGCATGTCCACCCAAGGGGAATCGACACCTATCCTCATCCGTTGTTCACCTGTGCTTCACCTTTTTGTCACGGCCTCCCATTCCCCTCCATCGCAGGGCTAAGTGGGGACTTCACCCCCTTTTTTTTTCCAGATGGAGCTATCGGTGCCTCTGCAAGGTACTCTGACACGCTACGAAACCACAAGGCACTCTGATACGCTACGAAACCACATCTCATCATGGCGGTTGAGACCACTAGTATAGACATGCTGTCATGTTGTAGGGCTCTAAGACTAACCATGTCTCATCGTGGCGGTTGAGACCATTAGACATGCTGTCACATTGCGGGGCTCTAAGACTACCGAACGCATGACCTTGCCCTCACTCTACCATCGTGTTTGTCTTGTTGGCAAAGCAAGGCTTCACACAATCACACGCGCCTCTTCAGCTCTCGCTATATATAAATAAATAACGTGCACATACGGTACGTGTCTCACAGCTACATATCCATTTGGCTGGTGTTGAGCATGGGAAGAACTCAATCCGGTAATGGGAAATGCCAATTTGGATTGTGAGCTCATAAGTTTTTTTTTTGAGTTCGCTCATAAGATTGGAGATTGTCCATTTGGCTGGTGTTGAGCATGGGAGGGAACATTCTTCCCTTATTTTCTATCTAAAAATCTAGGAGGGGAACCCCCCTCGAACCCCTACTATTTATAGAACAAAACAATAAGGCAAAAAACTTGACTTGCATGGCAGATAGTAGTGGCTTCATTCAGGGAGAAGCAAAATCAATCGAGCAAGATGTTAATTTAGTGCGGAAAAAGGTCGATCAGCTCAAGGTGGTACCGACCTCTTTTTAAAAGTGGCACTTGTATGCTTTCTAAGGCACCACCATCGCATGTCAACAAAGTTGTTAGCTTTAACAAAATCTACACTACTACGCATAAGCAGGGAAGGGATGATAAGCGGGCAAGGCTCCCAACGCACGACATCCCCAGGAACACAAGAACACTCACTCTATCATCGTGTTCCTTTGTCGTTGGCAAAGCAAGGCTTCACGTACACAATCACACCTCTTCAGATCCCTGTAAGTAGCGTGCACGGTGCACGTACATATGACATATCCATCCCATTATTTATCTTAACAGGAGCACAAAATCCACTCAAAATCATGTTACAAGCATAGAGCAATTCCCTGCTTAGCTTTGCACGTACGGCAAATTAAATGCAAATGCGTTCGGTTTCGTCAGCTGGAGGAGCCCTGCAGCCTGGACACGAACGTGGACGCGGCGACCGCGGCGGCGCCACCGACGACGCAGACGAGCGCGGCGACGGCCTGCAGCGCCACCTGCCACGCCTGCTCCTCGGGGACGAGGTACACGACGGCGGGGCCCGCGGCCAGCAGCGGGAGCGCGAGCGCCAGCAGCGCCCCCGGCGTGCCCGGGTCCGCGGCCGCCGACAGCGCGCCCAGCTCCTCCGCTTTGGACAGCAGGCCCAGCCGCTCCACCGCCGACAGCGACAGCCCCGCGCGCTCCGCCGCCGACAGCAGGCCCGCGCGCTCTGCCTTTGTCAGCAGCCGCAGCTTCTCCACGTTCGTCAGCAGCTTCACCGGCGCCTTCTTGCCGCTCGTCGTCGCCGGACGCGGGCCCGGCTCGCCCAGTGGGAACACCGTCGTCGTGCCCTGCACGTTCGCGCGCGCGCGTCACCCGCCGCTCTTGAGACTCAACCAACGAGAGGCGTACCTAGGGAATGGCGGGTGGCGGCGGCCGCGGCGGTGCTTACCGATCTTCTCGTGCCGGAGACGGTCTTGGCCGTCGGCTTCTGGCCCTTCTGGGTGGCCATGGCGGCGACCCTGAGGAGGCGCCCTCTCCCACCGCTGCTGCTTGGCCTCGCCGTGGTTGCCGCGGCGGCGGCGACACACAGTGACGCCATGGCTAGCGCTCGCTCTCTCCTTTGCTGCAGCGGCGCGCTGCCAACCCAATGAGTGGCCTAGCTCACACCGGTCGAGGCATTTTTCTTGGTCGAGCTGCGCGACCTGATCCGTCTTGCACCCGTGGCCGTCCTCTACTGGCTCAACGTTCCACGTCAGATATCCTGTTTGCTGCGGAGGTGAATGGTACAGTTAGCAAATTTTAGCGTAAAATTTGTATGCAAATCACAAATGACTCCGTGGCCCAATGGATAAGGCGCTGGTCTACGGAACCAGAGATTCTGGGTTCGATCCCCAGCGGAGTCGGTTTTTTAATTGGGCCATTTCAGTTTTTTTTGCCTGTTGGGCCATATCTTCTTTTATCTGCGAGAAAAGCCCAAAAGGCCCATTAGTGTGACGTCTCCGACGTCCAACCGCCCTACCTCGAGTCCCCTCGACCGCTTTTTAACTCGCAGCCGCCGCCGCCCGACGCAACTTAGCGCAAGAAAGAACTCATCGGCAGAGTCGAAATCAAAACCCTACAAGAACCCACCGGAGAAGAGGCGGAGGGCGATCCTAGAGCGGGATCATGGCGGGGCCAGCAGCGGCGGTGGCGGAGGCGTGGGACAAGGTCACCGTGTTCCTGTACTCTCAGCTCTACGACGAGAGGAAGAGGGCCGAAAACAACGTGAGCGCCCCTCATCTCACACCCGTTTTTTTTGTGCGTGTCGCACTTCGCCTTAATTCTTGACTTGGTACTAACGATTCACGGTTCGTGATGCCGTCGCAATTGTGAACTTTGGTGGCAATGGTAGATTGTAGAAGCTTTTTGGTTTAATAATCTGCAACGTTGCGGAGCACGCTTAATTAAGACGAGAGGCGACTGATCTCCCTGCCTTTATTGTTGGTGAAAGATTAGGATTGAGTTGTCTTAGACTTCTTGTGTTATTTCTCCTGCATATCTGCTGTATTAGTTGTGCAAACTGATTGCTGAGTATAGTTGTCTCACTAATTTGCTTGCACAGATAGTCATCTTAGATTGTGCTTTGATGTAAAGTCGATCCTTGGAAAATTTCTTGTGTATGTGACAGTCCTGGAAAAATTGGCGGAATTAAGTTTCCTGCAGTTCGTGTTTTTGGTTAATGTGTTTGTTGTTAGTGTCATGGATCAAATTAACACAAGCTCCGTTCTCTGGAGCGCCCACCGCCCCTGCCCCCCTTTTTTTTTTTTGGAGTTCCTTACTTTCAACATCGAGGCTCTATTTATGTACTTGGATATTTGTAAGGTGACATTCTGCCCTTTTGTGTATCTTTTAGGGGTGATATATTAAATGTTGTGTGAACCAGTATACTGTTGGGTTGCGTGTAGTGTGAGCTCTAGCTTATTAACTTGTGCCTTCCTGGATTTGCTATTTCTGCAGCTCCTTGGGTTCAGGTGTCTCTCTCATATGCCAATGAATTGACTTAAATCAGGCTCACCTTGGTGTGGGAGCGACTCTTTTAATATAGGTTTTTTTATATATACATCAATAACTGCAGAAAACCCTAGTTATCTTTGCTTCTGGCACATAACCCATTTCTCAATGAAATAGATCTTGATTGTAGTGCAAATTATTACAAAATACATATGTGTTTGGGGTAGGGGCGGCTGTGCCAACCTCCCTCCATGTAAAAAGGCCCAACGTCTAATAATAAATCTAAGGACCTTCATGTAAATTCGTAAACCATAAGGGAGGAAGATGCATCCTCCCACCTCCTCCATAAATAGAACCCAAGGCCAAGGGAAGGCTCTTTCTCCCTTCCATTCTCAAAACGCTATGTTTAGTACTCCCATTCTATTCTCCTGTGTGGGATTACCTCCCCAGCTTTCCCTTCACCTCGGTGAAGGTGGTACCTGGACATAACCCATTTCTTAATCAAATAGAAATAGATCTTGGTTGTAGTATAAATTACAAAAAATATAGGTTCTATTCATCTATCATCATTGTTGCAGAAAACCATGGTCATCTATCATCATTTGACAACTAAATAAACCTGAGTTTTATTTTCATGTTTCACAAAGTCTGTCCGACAACAAGCTAGCAAAACAAAATGAACATTTTGAGGACAAAATGATGTTAGAGGTAGGGCTGTTTCCATGGTGTATTTTGTGAAGATGTGTGAAACACTACAGCCATGCAACCAAGATTATCAAGCCTACCAGAGATTTCTCCAATTATGTGTATTCATGTAATAAACCCTCTTTCAGTATTGTTATCTCTACTCCGTGATATAGTCTGTGCTACCATGTAGAATTTGAAGTGTACATAATATCTCTGCTCCACATGTTTTCTCGAATACGCAGGAGTATTGCGTATCATTCTATTAAGAAGATAGAAGTTTTATAATATAAGAGAGGCCGTTCCCAGCCCGGCAGTTTCTCTGCTCCACATGTTATCTGGACTAGGTTATGACTATATTTATTTGGCCTTTGTTTTTATAAATCTTTTAACTTTGTTTGCTCTTTAATTTGGTTAATTGTTGCATTATAACATTTATAAGCCTTGATCGAAAACCTTTGTGGTGGTTCTTTTTTACTGAGAAACTCTATAATTACTAATGCTCTGTTTTCTTTCATCTTCTTTTGCTTGTACAGAAGATAGCAAAGGCTCTTGGTCTATTCGCTGGATCCATCCTATTCATGCGCACCTGTGGTGATATAATGGCCATCTAGGGAGTCTTCGGTCGGCTGACAGCAATGGAGATCAGTGGAGCTGTTCGGTCGGCTGACAACAATGGAGATCAGTGGAGCTGTATTTCTTTGTTCTTTTCTCCTTTTTTTGTTAGTAGTGGATTTGTTCTTACTTTAGTTTGGGATAATTGAAGTGCATCTAGACTCTAGAGACAGTTGTCTTAAATGAAACACAAAGACTGTTGATTATGACATTATCAGTAATTTGCAGTAGTGACAGGAGGACTATTAAGTCTATCGATGGCTGCTGATCATTTTTTTCTGTATTCTTTTTCAATTGCTTGGTCATATGTTTCATTTTTATGGAAAAGGAGATTCAAAGAGGAGCTTGGCCTAGTGTGCACTAAGGCCAATTCAAAAAGGCAGACCCCCTCACAATCTGGAGAGATAGCTATACTTCATGACTTTGATTGTTTTGCTTTGGGCCTGGAAGCCTTGTAATCTTCCTTCTTTTGCTTTATGTAAATACCATAAATACAATTCTTTCATTTAGCGGAAAAAGAAAAATATAGGTAGGGGGCTTCCCTGCTGTTTCGGTCAAAAAATGTCTCATTCTTAGAATATTTCATTGGTTGGGAGGATTAAAGCATTTTAGTCTCTGTGTGTCCTCTCGTCCGTCCGTGGACTCTGGTTAATAGATGTGATTGTTGGGTCTTCTGTAGCTCTGTGGTTGTATGCCTTCAGAATATGAGTGAGTTAGGTATATGTATATATAATATAGGGAGATTGGATTTGTTTGATCCTATGTCAGTATCATCTCCTCACCGAAGAAACAGGGCTGTTAGTCATCAGTCACATCAGTGCACACAAATGTCCATCTCTCATCTCATTAAATAGGATGAGAGATCTTTCAAACATCAATAGTTAGTGTATGCAACTCTGCATCAAGCGAGCTTGCAGCTTTTACATGCACAATGGTACCATCTAGTTTGGTTCACAAGGCGCGCTAGCTGCTGCATCTCCCACCTTAGCCGTAGCGCACGAATGGTCATGACTCGCGACACACACCCCGGGCGGAGCCAAAAATGAGTTGCCGCCGTCCTAGAGGCTAGGGCCACCAGGCGACGGCGAGGGCTCTCGATAGATCTGCCGCTGCTGTGTTTAATCTGTATTCCCTCTGTTCTAAATTATTTGATGTTTTGGCTTTTCTAAAAATATTTTTTTTATGAGAATTTTTTTTACTAATTACTATATATATATATATACAGTATCTAAGTGCATAGCAAGAGTAATGTATTTAGAAAAGTCAAAACATCTGCATTCTGCATTGCTACTGCACGAATTGAAGCATCGAAGTATATGACAAAGACAAACAGAAACATACCAATACAACGACTGAATATACACATATATAGAGAGAGATACATATATACTATGCAGATCGACAACGAAGTCGATCGATCAAGTTTGTTTTTGCACAACGACTGAATATACACATATAGATAGATACATATATACTATGCAGACCGACAACGAAGTCGATCAAGTTTGTTTATGCAGGATTCAGTCAATAATGATGAATTCTAGGATGATCTAGGTGTAGATTAGAGGGTGAATTCATTACTGGTTTAGTTCAATTGGACCTATAACATGATGCAGAGAGGGAGACAGTGAGAGAGGGAGATGTAGGACTGGCTGACCGTCGGCTTTGGACGAGGATGAGCCGTCCATGTCGAGGTCTAGTTGGTGGCGTCGTCCAGCGGCGGCGTCGGGGTAGAGGACGCAGTGGAGTACGGCGTGGTGTAGAGGCGGTGGTGGCGCTTCCCGTTGCGGGCAGCACCCCTCTCGATCGGTCTAGGGTTAGGAAGTAGGTGGGACGTCTAGCGACTCAGGTGAATCTCCTGTTTGCGCCCTGGCCCCCACATCCCTCTATATGGTGCTGCGCGACGGGGGCCCACCAACCTTGGTTTGGTTGGATGCCCTCGATCAGGGCACTGGATCAAGGCCCGACTCCACCGTTGGGCCGAGTCAAATGAGATCAACACTAACAATCTCCCCCTTGATCTCACCTCATACTTAAACTCAACTTTCTTTATCTTTTTCTCATTCCATCACAGATCAGTGCATAGAGCGTGCTTCATCATCACGGTTAGCTGCCATTAGATTTAACAGCTATAATGCATCTCTATGTTTTAAAACAGATACTCAACTAGGCCCTTAGTATCTAGAAATCATAGGCTTTCCCGTAAACCCATGTCAACTGTGTGTTCTCTAAACGCACTGGATGGTAAGCCTTTGGTAAGCAGATCTGCAAGTACTTACTCGGTATTTATGTGCTCAATGCTTTTAAAAT